GACGTGAAGGCAATAGAGGCCCTGTGGATTCAAAGGAAACTTTTACCTCTCCCTTAATCTAAATTACGGGCCTTGCCCATAGTAAGACTTATCACCAGAAATCACTTTTTTCGACCCATTTATAGCGCAGGCCAAACTTCTAATAACAGACATCTGCTCTTCTCATCACCCTGCAGTGACCCTCTGCCCTCTGCAGCCTCAGGGGCCTTAGCTCAGCTCCAGCTCGGAACGTCACACAGCCCGCATTCCCCAGGGCTGTCCCTGACCCCCTGCTGCTGTGTGGGGTCCACGACTCTCTTCCGCACGTGGGGTTCCCGTCCATATGGATGTGAGGTTCCCGTCCACATGTATGATTAAACTCAGTTATTTTTCTCTGGTTACTCTGGCTCACGTCTACTGATTTTCAGACCAGCCACAGGGGCCTAGAGGGGTGCAGAAGGAGTCCTCCTACCCCGAGAGTACTTAAAGCCTCGCGGCCTTTCCCTCCAGCCCGGGTCTGCCATCGGGACCCGAAGTCACCGGGCGAGAGCAGGGGGAACGGGACATCTGCGGGTGATCCCCTGTGAGACCACACACTCAAAACTGTGCAATTCACGTGAAAAGACGCTCTGTCAACTGGCAAAAACATTTTTCAGACAAAAAAAATTCTTCAGCAAGTCTCCTGCATTTCCAGTAAAAGGCGGCGACTCGGCCTTCCCCGTCTCGCGGGCAGACCACACCATCGGCCGGGTCCTGCCCGGGAAAGGTCGGCCCGGCCGAGGGCCTGCCGTGCGGGACTGCTTCCGAGAGTCACCAGCTCTTAAAGGAAGTCAGACTCTTGGCTTTCATCCATGGAAACCACATGCTTCTTTACTAGAAACTCCTCAGAAACACATCTTGCAAACCGGGTATGTGAACTGAAGTTCAAACAGACAAGGAAGCTTCTCACTTCTAAATTATCAGTTCAAATCACCCTCAAGTCGGGTAATACACTAATGACCTGGGTTCCCAGACTGTGCACCGGGGTGCCTCAGGGTCCCAGCAAGCCCCCCGGATGCCACAGGAGAGGGTTTAAATGAGAGGAAACGGCAGTGCTAGAGATGCAGCGAATCTTACTTCAAGCACTCAGTTTCAAAATTAGACCATGGTGCATTCCTTTCAATGACGTATCATCGTCACAAAACGGGGTGGTTGCCGTGATAAAAGTACCACAAAAAAAAAAAAAAAAAAGAATCACACAGGGAAGCGGTGTGCAACGTGACTGCCAGGGCCGAGAAGCTGTGCAGTGCGGCCATCCCGATAGTATGCTACTGTGGTTATCAAAGAATAAAATAAACATTTCTCTTCCAATTTCTGTGTATTATCTTTTTCAGATAGCGGCTGTTAGTAGTACATACTTAATAAAATTACTTGGACCTAACTACTTAATCAACGAAATTATCAGGAATCCTTCTTGGCCGAGAAGTGCCAGGGCAAAATCGCTGAGACACTAAAGCCATCGCGAACAGGGAAAGTTGAGGCTTCCTCCGTAGCGGCTACCAGTTTTTGCACATTGATTCCTCTTCTGAGTACTTCACCAATATTGGTACTTTTCAATCCATATCCCCCTATCGGATTGGTACTGCCACGGTCCCAAGTTCACAGATGAGAACGAGAATATGGAACTCTCCAGGTCACACATGGGAGACCTAACTGGTTTGAACCAGACACAGGTAGAAATGACAAACAAAGCAAGGCAAGCACATTTGGGGGTGACATTTGTGGGGGGCACATTTAAGCCCCTTCAGCCCCTGCCCTCCAAGTCCGCTCCACGGACAACTGAGGCTTCCTACGGAGAGCTGCTTCTCCCACTTCTCAACTGCTGGTCTGCTATGGACTTACAAATCCAATATGGACCCAGACATGCATTTATGTGCATTGATTTTTTTTAAGATATTATAAGTTACTCTTCTGGTAATGAAACTGAGACAGTGGTTAAATCACAAGCACCACACTGTCAGGATTGATGCAAAACTGCGATATGCAAATTTGAAAACTTTAACCTACAAGGAGGAAAAAAACATAAAACTCTAACCAAGTACAAAGCATTACAGACCTGCTCATTTCTGTTGCCTTTTTTCTCCCTTTCAAAATTTATATCAGATCTGGAACCCCAAAAACGGAGATTCAGAAAAATGAGATAGGCAACATAAAATGTGACGGGAAACAGACCCTTTGGACAGAGCGCTGTTATTTTTCAGAAACTGTACAACCCCGTATCCACAGAATGTGCTCTTCTAGGCACGGTACCAGCACTGAACAGAGAAAACTCACAAATCAGGAACGACAATCACTCTGTCCATGAATGAGATGGCTGGAAAAGGAACGCATCTTTCCTAATATAACCTTGAATCAGAAACCTAAGACTTTATTCTCAAGCAGAAAATTGACCCAGTGGTTGAAAAACAAATCTAAGCTACAACTTAAATGCGGATCAAATGGATCTGCTGGATTTGTTTCAGTTTCACCGTGCATTTTTTCATGATTAATAAATTATACTGTAGGTGTTCACACTGCTACAAGTAGGTAATCCATCACCCGGTGTCCTCAGGGTATCGGGACCACCGCTGATCACCCAGCACCCCTGGCAGACACCTTCCAGATGCCGACTCCCGCAGCGACAAGCTCAGCCGTTCCTGGGTCTACGCGGAGCCCCTGCAGAAGCAGTCACCGCAGCGGGGACAGGCAGGCAGCAGGGCCATCAAAACTTTTAGGGAGCATCAGAATATTAAAATAATTCAGCAAGGTTTTCAAGCAATAATGAATCCTATGTACCCCTAATCTCACGGGACTTTCCGTGCTTCTCCCGGCCACACGTAGACAGTTCCGAAATCTGCCTGAACCGGGTACATTCCACATTCTTCTCGGAAAGGTCTACACACAAGTCATTTCCACTTAGGTAAAATGTTCTAAATTCTTTTGAAAAACATTGAAAACAAGCATAAACTGCTTTCATTTTGAAATGAACGGGCACAGCCTCATAAGGGCCAACTGCTAGGTAAGTATTCGAGGAGACAGAAATGGACTTTTGAAAACAAAAATGTTGCATGCTAAGAGAACTATGTACATAATATCAAAAAATGTGAAGCCTCTGGAGGGATTTTTTAAAGCAACCTTCCTACTATCCTCGCACTGCTTGGACTGGCTCCGCCCCCCCCACCCCCCACCCCCCAGTGCCTGCAGCTGCAGAATGGAACAAGGTGAAGTGTGAAGTGAAAGCAGGGCAAGTGCCACCAGAGCTTCAGCACCAGAGACACTCAAGTGTCATTTCAAGGCTGACCTGTGCAGGCAGCCTTTCAAAAAGTTCAAGAATTCTTTAACTTTTAAAGAACTGGGATCTTTCTCACTTTTCACTAACTTCCCCCAAGAGTTTCCTGAAGCCACTTTCCCTTCCGAACACAGACACCGTCAGTGCAGACAGAGCTGAGGGGGAACCGACGGCAAGATAAGGAGGAAACGGTCCCTCGGCCACCTGTCACGCACGTGCGCATGGCACTGAACATCAGCACAGCTCTCCGACGCTGGCTGCTGGTCACGGAGAACACGGCAGAGCTTCAGGAACACCTCCGAACACACTGACACGGCACATATTGAAACACACGGCTAGGCAAAGGCAAGCTCAGGGGCGTGAGGTGTCATTAGGGGCCCCTGCCCCTAACACTGTGGGTGCCCCTGCGCACAGTGTTTCCGCAGCTCCCACAGTGTGCACAAGGGGTTTCAGGGAACCTCCCATGGAGCCTGCACTGAGCAGGCACTGGCGCCGGTGCCCTGGGGACTCAGAAAGTGCCTGGGAATTGGAGGGCTTGAAGGTCGGCGCCACACACCTGTCCCCTCAGACTCAAGGTGCAGTCCTGAGTAAGACTTCCGGTTACGAGTGTTCCGGGGGTGGGGCAGAGAAGAAAACAGCAATTGCTGAACCATGCCAGTCCCCACGTTTAGATGAAACCGTCCATTTCCGTAAGAAAGTTTACCAACTAAAGAAGAAGTAACCAACAAACTTGAAATATATAATTTCTCAGGGATCTGACAAGAGGGAGCATACAAGGAGTGTGTCCATTAATCAGAAAAAAAAAATTTTTAATTAAAAAAAAGAAAACAAGAGAAAGATACATAGTCTTCTGCCGCCCGGCCACCCAGATTTTGCAGCGACAATGCTTCCTTTCAGAGCATGAAAGGCCAAATGAAATACCTCTCTGCAAATCGCCTAAATGCCAGCCAACATTTCAACCCATTAGCGTTGTTTAAAGTATTTCATTCTAAAGTTAGAGCTGTAAAGGCGCCAGTCTGGTTGTCTGGAGTGTGCATTCAGGAGCCGGGGCTCGCCTAACCTCTGCAGTCGCATCTGTGAAATGGGTTTCACCCCTGTAACAGCAAAAAGGCAGGAGTGGGCCTGGCGGCGCAGGTGATGGACAGAAGGAAGGGATGCGTGTGGCACAGTCCTGACCCGCCATCCGAGCTGGGTCCGGGGAGCGGTCCCGCCCGTGCACAGCTCTGACCGACTACCTGCGCCGTTCACATTTAACACTTTACTGAAGTACAAACTCGCGTCTTCTAACAACATACACGCACACAAACTTCGTCCACGCTCCTCAGTCTGCAAGCCACCAGGGCCCTCCCCAGGGTCGGGGAGCGGTGTGACCCGGAGGACAACACGACCCCCAACCGGGAGGACGGTCCCCTCGGGTCGCTCAGCCAGCAACCGAGCCCGGGAGCTGGACGGGGGCACAGCAGGGCCCCCATCCCCGCCCTCCATTCGGAGCACGCCCTGCCCCGAGCGCTGTCAGAGTGCAAGGAAACGGCCCGAGACGACGTCTCCCGCAGGGTCGGAGGTCGTCTGCGGGGACCCCGCCGCAGCCGCCGCCCCGGCCACACCTCCATCCAGGAAGCGGCCAGGGCCTTGGAACGGGGGTCAAGGGGCCGGCGAACATGGGCCGGGCTGCCTGCAACGGCCGCCGCCCCCTCCCGCGCCGACAGGCACTCACAGGTGACGATGGGCTTGTTCTCCATGGTGTAGATCACCGGCGGCAGCGGCTCCTCAGGGGCGTCCATGGGCGTCCGGCGTCACCGGCCCGGCCCTCCGCGCCCCATGGGCAGCCCCGAGGCCGCACCCGGCCAGCCCGAGCCTGAGCGGCACCCCCCGCCGCAACAGCGACGCCTGCCCGGCCGCGGGAGGAAGCTACCTTGCCGGCCGCCTGCAGCTGCCGGCCTCATTCACTTCCGGTACCGGCTCTGCCGCGGTACCGCTTCCGGGACGCGCATCTTAAAGGGGAGGGCTTCCCGCCCGAGTGAGCGCTGTCCTCCGACAGAAAGGCGGCCCAGCAGTGCCGCGTACTGAGTAGGAAGGCGGGGCCGCGGATGAAAGTGGGCGGTGGCGGCTGCTGGCAACTGTGCGGAGCTGTAGTGGCTGCACTGCTGGGAGCCGTCCCGGGGACCGGTGTCTCCCTTAGGCGGACCGGGCACCTGACCTCCGGGAACGAAGGGGACACCGCGGGGCTCCCACCACATCTTACCTTCTGGAGTGTACGACGCCCAGAGTGGGTGCACGTGGCTGCGAGGGCCCCCTCCACCTCCCCGCCCCGCTCCGCCCCACACCTGGTGACGCCGGCGGGGCCCCACTGAGCCTTCCCAGCCCACCACGCAGACTCCCCGGCAGCTACGGGAGGTGGGGGGTCGCTGACAGCAGGTGGACAGGGACATGACCCCAGGGGGCAATGACAAGGACGTGTGGACTCGGGGATGACCCTGGCTGAGGGTGAATGTGGACACAGGCAGTTTCTCATCGTGAGGGCCTGCGGATAGCCCGGCCTTGTTATTTTTACCCCGCGCTGGAGGCCTCAGGCCGAATCCGTTGAGACACGGGATTAATTCCCTCCACTGAGCTGAATGGCAGTTAGACCTTGCAAAACTCTGTCTTGTGTTTTCTTGTTGCACTGGTCTTATGAAGTAACATTGCCATAAAGTAGAACAAGATGACTATCTTCTCACTACAGCCACAAACCCTGCAGCACCCCAGTGCTCCCTCCAGCCTCACTTCCAAGGCCAACTTGCCACGGATCCTTCCAGATCCGCCTCTCTGAATTTTCACAGCATATTGACTCCACTCCTGTTAGCCCTCCTTTCCCTGTGTCCCTGACACTGGAAACGTTTTGACTTTAGGGATGTGCCTTTTACTTGTGCCTCCAGCCCGCACCCTTCCCCACCCAGCGACACAGCACCTTCATGGAGTAGGCAATGGTACACATTTTGGGATTACCACAAAATGGAACCTTACTTTCAACTGCATTTAAGTTTCTTGTGTAAGGAAAGTACGCCTAGGGTAACTTTTGCAAATGTAATAAAGTAAATGGATACGTGAAATGGGCTGAGTGTGAACACAGCTGCCAAGTGTGTAGGGGTAGTGCAGCACGTAGCTGGGTGGGGGGCCAAAGATCCGAGCTGGGGTGGCTGGAAGCCGAGAGGCAGGCAGAGCACCAAGAAGAAGGGGCTACGCAAGGGTGGAGGGCCAGCGTCTGTGTGGGGGTCCCTGTAAGTCCTTGGCTTTCCCTGGGCTCAGAATGTAGGGTGAGCCTCCTCCATGTGGCTTACCAGGAAGAGGCTGTTGCAAAGTTGAGAATGGCGGGAAGGCTAGAGGTCACACGGGGCTACAGAGAAGACCGCACTGATGCCTCATGAACACCCAGTTCAACAGGGCCCCCCCCACTGAGGGCCATGTGCCTGGGTCAACAACTTGATCTGGGAGGGCCCAGATAAAGTATTTTGGGTTTTAAGGCCATACACAGTTTCTGTTACACATTTTTTAAAAAACAATCATTTAAAAATATAAAAAGTGCCCTAGCCAGCTGGCTCAGTTGGTTGAAGTGTTGTCCCATACACCAAACGTTTGCAGGTTCAGTTCCACATCAGGGCACATACCCAGGTTATGGGTTCAATCCCCAGGCCGGGCACATATGGGAGACAATCAGTTGATGTTTTTCTCTCACACTGATGTCTCTCTCTTGCCATCCTTCCTTACTCCCTCTCTAAAAATCAATAAAAAACATCCTTGGGTGAGGATTAAATATATTTTATGTAAACTATTCTTAGCTCAAAGGCCATACAAAAACAGGCCATGGCCAAGGGTGGCCTGTGAACCCTCTCTAACCCCTGCCCTAAAATCAGGCCTACGCTAGACCTACCTTAAGAAAACGTGCAGCAAAGCCTTGACAAGATCGGCAAGAGAGATGTGCACACGGAATCCTGCCAAGTAGGGTAACCTAGGACATTTCTCAGATCCAGCCCAACAAAGAGTAAAGCCAAGCCTATACAAGGTCAAGGAGATCAAGACAGTAATTGATCTGCCAACTACCACAAATGTCAGGACTCTTCTGTGGAAGATGAACCAGAGTCACTACAACTTATAATTTACCAATGTCTGATATATACCAAAAGATGTACTAGATATGCAAAAAACAGAAAGTAGAAACCACAGTCAAGAAAAAAAGTAGTCAGCTGTGGCTGGCGTAGCTCAGTGGATTGAGTGTGGGCCTGCAAACCAAAGCATTGCTGGTTCAATTCCCAGTCAGGGCACATGCCTGGGTTGCAGGCCAGGACCCCAGTAGGGGGTGCAAGAGAGGCAACCACACACTGATATTTCTCTCCCTCTTTTTTTCCCTCCCTCCCCTTCTCTCTAAAAATAAATAAGATCTTAAAAAAAAAAAAAACTAGTCAATAGAAACCACCTCCCAGATAGTCCAGATAATGTATTTACAGATAAAGACTATAAAGCAGCTATAATATAGATATATATCCAAAGAATTAAATGAAAATATGGTTTTAATCAGTAAGGAGAAAGGGGCTCACCGCAAAGCTGATAGCAAGTATAAAAAAGGTTGGAAATTCTAGAACTGAAAAGTACGACTGAAATGAAAATTTTACTGCATTGGCTTAATAGCCTATTGGAAATAGAAGAAATGGGCGATCCTAAAGACAGATTGATACAAATCATTCCATCTGAAAAAGAGAAAAAGGATTGAAAAAAAATGAACAGAGCCTTAGAGATCTCTGGGACAATATAAAGGGCCCTAATACCATGTCATAAGTGTGTCAGAAGGAGAAAAGACTTAAAATAGGGCAGATACTTTATTTGAAAAAAATAATAGCCAATATCCACAAATTCATGAGAAAGATTGATGTATAGGTCAAGAAACCCAGCAAAACCAGAATTCACACAAAGGAAAACAAAGCACATCCCAGGCAAACTGTCAGAAACCGTGAAGAGGAAACCTTGACAGCGGCCCACCGGAAAGACACGGTACATTCAGGGGAACGATGGTAAGAATTTCCATCGTCTCCTCATCAGACACAATGAAACCAGAAAACCATGGTATAAACCAGCCAAGAGCTGAGGGTTAAAAACTCACCCACAACTCTGTGTCCAGAAAAAATGCCCTAAAAACTAAGGGCAGATAAAGGTACTTCAGGTAAAGCTGGGAGAATCTGTGGCCAGCAGGCAGGTACGAGAAAACATGCTAAAGGATGTTCTTCAGGGTAGAAGGACACATGGTGGACATATAGGAGGGAAGGTCAGCCTCACAAGCAATCAGCAAGGTGGTAAATGTCATTATTATGCTTTTTTTCTCACCAAAATGTCCCCCGGAGACACACACACCTAATAAGTCCATGTGATGGTTTAACAATGCCTGTATAAGACACGGCAGTGACGGCATCAAGGACGGGGTACACGGAGGACTCGCGAGTTTGCAGTCTGCTGTGCCCGAGGAGTGGGGGCTTTCGGGTGAGGAGTGGGGGCTGGGGAGGCTCTCATGTGCAGAGAGAAGACGGAGTAATACAGTAGCGGCTGGAAATAGAATTTGATCTAAAGATATCCATCCCTAGAGGAAAACTCCAAAAAAAAAATTTTTTTAAGGGTTTGGCTAAGACGCCAGGAGAAGTAAGATGGGAAAACTATAAGACATTTGATGAACCCAAAGGAAGGCAGGGAAGGAACGGTGCACGAAGAAACAGCAGAGCGGACCACACAGATGGCCCATCGGCGCAGGAGAAGAGGCTCAGCGGCCAGCAGATGCCAAGGAAGTGCAGATTAAAGTGGCAACATCTCGCTTCGCGCCTCCTCACACAGCTCCCGTGGTGTGTTTTTTAAAAACCTGACAGCACCACATGTAGCCTCCAAGCCCAGGTCTCCAGGTCATGGGTCCGTTCCCACAGAGACATTGTCCAGTGCCTCTGAAAAAAAGCAGTCACACAGCTGTTCCTTGGTGGTGGTGCAGACCCTGTGTCCCGGCCCCCTGGGCCGGCTCTGGTGGGGAGGAAGAGTTTCCCTTCGGGAGGGAGCCAAGGGCTGGGAGAAGCTCTCCCACGTGGTTTTAGGCGACTCCCAGGCTCAGGGCCAGTAAGAGGACTCCTGGGCTGTTTGCTCTCCGAGCAGAACTATCCTGTTCTTTTCTCACATGGGAATTTAGAAAGTGCTTGAATTCAGCACAAATATTGCCTTAGCAATTCCTTTTCATCGTGGGGAAAATAGTGGTATCACTATTAATCGATGTCCATTCTTTTCTCAGATTCTTTTGTCCCGAGACAGCATTTGGTGTTCTTTAAAGGTTGCCGGAACCCGAGGCCAGATGGCCTTTCCTGGTAGCCCGTTATGTTGTGTCCAGGCTGCAAAGAGCCTGTTCAATTATGTATCGGGAGGCAGCCGGTGCCGGGCCCACTCCATCCTGCTGCGCAGGCCCCCTCCACCCTGCCAGCGAGCGTCCCCAGCACGCTTGCTCAGAACGGGCCAGGCCCAGTAGCAACCCGGACGCCCTTGGACCGGGCACTAGTTAGACACACTGCGGTCCGCCCACACCATGAAACAGAACACTACGCCGCGATCAAAAGGACCGAGCTATTCCTGCGCATGACGACCTGGGTGAGTCTTGAGAGAAGGATACCGAGTGCAAAACGTCTAACCTCGGACACCCACCCAGGGTGTGAATCAGTTTATAGAACATTCCTGCAGTGACCTATTGTGAAAGTGGAGAACAGGTGAGTGGTTCCCAGGGGCTAAGGAGGGGTGCAGGGCAGGCGGGAAGGGGCGTGTCTGTAAAAGGCAACACGGAGAATCTTCATGGGGACCCTACCTGTGTCCACGTCCTAGATGTGATGCTGGACTGGAGTTGTGCAAGACGTCACCCCCAGGGCGGGGGGGGTCCGGAATCCCTCTTACAAC